CATCATCAATCACCATCTTCTTCTTCTCATCATCATCATCCATACGCTAATCATCATCATCACCATCATCAATTTATACCATCATCAACAACAGTGGCTACGAATAATAATAATAATACACTTTCGCCAATGTTATCATTATCATCATCATTATCTCCTTCTAATACTAATAATACCAATACTACTACTTCTCCGCCTTCCACTAATACAACATTATATAATTTACCAATTATGAATGAATTAGAATTTTCACCTGAACAAATTGAAATGTTTGTAAGCTACCTATCAACAAACAACAACAACAACAACAACAACAACAACAACAGCAACAACAACAACTATCATAATCGTCAATACTAATCGTTTTATTGTAAATTTTAAATCCGATAATTTTTAATCTATAGTACATTTAATTTAATATTAATAATATATATATAATTTATCTTTTTTTTAATAAACTAATTTTATTTTACTTTAATTCTAATTTTTAATTTAACTTTAATAATTAACTAATAAATAATAAACACTATCAACTATCTATTTATTTATTTATTTATTTTAACGAATGAATGGATGAATAAAATCAATATGTAATCTTGACAAATAAACCGATTAATATAATAAATGTATTAAAGTTTGAACCAATTATACAGATAAAGCGAGAAGGGCATGAAAAAAAAAAATTTTTCCGATAACATATTTATACATATTAATAATATTTGCTTTATTTTCCGATTAAACTAATAAATAATTTGATTTTTTGATAATAATTGGAAAATTAAATAAATAATATCAATTTCGCAATTAAAATTTTAATCCTTCGTCGTAAAAATATTTTTCTTTAAACCAATTAACAATATTCCGACAACATCACTTTTATATTAAAAAAACTTTCTTAATTTAGCGTGTGATTATTTCCTCTAATAACAATTTTGCGATTAGTATCTCTCTCTTTTTATCTCATACTGTATTCGTAAAACAACAAGAGGAATATTTTTTAATAAATACTCCAACTTATTCCTTTTTTTAATCTCACCGCCTCCTAGTCCCCTTTCCTATTATTTCCATGCTAAACATTGAACCACAAAATATCGATAATTCTTACCTCTTTTTATTAATTTATTTGAAAGATTTATTAATATATCAACTCCATTACTAAATTACTTTCTTTAATTATTTATTTAAAAATGGAAAACGATAAGTCGATACCGAATGAGGTTTATTCATTCTTGAAGAAAATTAATTATCCTATCCCTGAGGATGAAAACATGGACGAAGTTATAGACAGTATTATCGATAGACTCGATAATACCAACAAAAAAAAAGCTAAATACCACGATTTCTTGGTATTTTTAGCAAGATATTATTTAAAAGAAAATAATTTCCATGCAAATATTGATCGAACTCTACTCAGCCGAGTAGTGAGAAATTTAGATAAGTCCTTATCTGATGCTATGAAAGAGAAGATGAAAGTTTATACCGAGCGTTTCAATGAACGCCATCCTCAAAATTATTACGATGATGAGAGTGATGATGAGAGTGATGAGGACAATGAGGTGGTGGAGGTGGTGGAGGTGGAGAATATTGGTGAACAGAATTTAGATTCAGGTTTTGATGTAGATGGGTACGAGAGAGGTACTATCTTTCGCGATAATTAATTATAGTCGTGTTGTTATTATATTATTATTATTACCATTACTATCGTTTTATTATATTGAGATGTTCTCATTTTATTATTTTACGATTAACGCTTCGATTTTTATATTATTGTATTATTATTTATTTATTTATTTAGTTATTTATTTATTTTTAATTCTGAATAGCATTTCGGTATCAGGATTAATCAGAATTCGTAGCTCGTCAATTATGTAATAAAATATAAGATCATACGTATTAAGTTAATTTTTTTTGAAAAAACCCCAAAAGAAAAAAACCGTTTTTTTCTAATTTGGAGAATAGATGACTGATTTGTTTGTTTGTTTTTTTTTTTTTTTTTTTTTTGAATTAATGAGAAAAAAAACCGTAATTATTTTTGTAACTACGTAATTTATTGTTTCACAAACAAAAAACATGTTATTGATAAGAAAGCCAACCAAGCAAGTAGTGCCAAAAATAAAAAATAATTAAAAATAATTTTTTTTAATATGCACGTACATAAAAAAAAATTTCCAAAAATTTTCGGAATTATTTTATAAATTCCACACACAGAAGGTTTTTTTCATTCAAAAATTATTATTTTCAATTTACAGAAAAATAAATACAACCACTTACCTACTTCCTTTAATTTTAATTTCTTTTTTAATGAGTTAATGTCTACTTAGTATTCTTATTTTTAAAAATTAAATTTTTTAATAACTTATTTATTGCTATTTTATTGTTGATCGAGAAAAAAAATATTCCCTCATCATAATTGTTGTAATTAATCTTTTTAATAATTTTATATCAATAAAAAATTCCGTTTTCGCCTTCCTCCATTACACCATCTACACACCACATCATCCGTTGTAAATAGTATACATCATATAATTAATTACTACAATTACCATAAACTCTATACCCTATCTCTGGTATACCGGCTGACTATGTCTATTGAATTGAATAATCAACGTGACAACCTAATCTCGATAATTAATATCAGCAACGACGTGTTCGACAATAATAAAATAGATTATTTAAGTAAAACAATTAGGAGAAATTTAAGTACAAAAAATACATTTAATAAATTCACTGCCCGGTATTTGTTTGAAATTATATTTATTGAAAAGGTGGGCAGATATGGCACATACAATAAAAAAGCATTGCAAAGTGCCTCATTTCAGGTCTGGTCAAAGGCAACGACTGAGCAAAGGAATATTTATATAAACATTCACAGAAATTTACGACAAATTCGCGATACGTCATCACAACAGTAGTAGTAGTCAAGAGAACAAAAGATTTAGCACTAACATATTTTATAATAATAATACGCATAAGAAGCAATAATTTACTATAATCCATATTTAATTGTGATTATATTATTGTTGTTATTAAGATATTAGTTATTAAGATTAAACGCGGAAAAAAATTTTTATATACGTAATTAAGCCAAATTAATTATCAATTAGCTACTTAAAAAAAAAATAACTTGTATATTCAGGATTTTTTTTATATTCCTGTCTTTTTTTTTTTCCTAATACTAAGTACACAAGTTAATTGTCTTATCATACATACAATTATGGAAAATTTTTTTGTCTGAAAAAACCGTTTATTGTTATGTTACATTGAAGATCAATTCCGATAACATTATTTTAATATTAATATGCAATAGTGTATGTAAATGTATGTAATGTAATAAATCATCGTTAATACAGATTTTAAATACTTGTTTTTTTTTAAAAAAAAAAAAAGGAAAGATTATCACATTTAATAATTAATTATAAATTAAAAATGCTTATTTAATATTTTATCAATTAACGTCAATCAATCAATCATTAAAAATAAAAAAGAAGAGGAAAGTTTTTTTTGTGTATTATTGCTGTATAATTACATCAATACACAAAAAAATCAACCCTTAATCTAATGTTTTTAAAACTGTTTATGCTTAAATTTATCTTACATTTTTGTGTAACATAGAGACCATCAATAAAAACTTTACGCCATTATTAAATTTTAAAATATGTGTTAGTGTGGAGTATATACCTTTTGGCTTTCATATCTGTAACGCTTAAAATCTTTGTTATAATCCAGTTATTGTTTTATTACTAATATTAATTCGTAGACTTCCTTAAAAATTTTTAAAAATAAATAAATAAAATATAATGATTATCAAAGCCATTATTAAAAATTAATCAGTGTTAATTAACGAGACGCGGGAAAATAAAAATTTCATAAAGATTAGCAAGCAGGTTTGATAGAAAAAACTTGTAATCATCTTGATTTTGTTTTTTGTTGTTGTTGTTACTTTAATGTTAACACACGTACGTACGTAATAAACTAAAAATAGTGTACAATAGTTGAATTTTACCAGTTATTGTGTGTCCAAAAAAAAAAACCGGGTGGGAGCAAGAAGGAAAAGCCGGGGAAAACAATAAAAGAAAATTATGTCATATCTTATCGTGATCAACAAATTTTATTTAATGTAGATCAATATGTATATAATAAAACCGCAGATTTTTTTATTAAAAAGACCCCCCAAAAAAAACCACCAAGGCTCAATGCTTAGAACAATAATTTTAAATATTGGCGGTTTTTGTGATCTGAATTATAAACAAAAAAATTCGCAAAACTTCCGAATTTGCTTTGCTTCATATTCTTTATCTAGAGTAATATAATATTTTTCAAAATCAGTAAAAGTCCCTAATTTTTTTAACTGCTCTTTTTGGATTTGAACTTCGGCTAAAGCAAAGTCATGGCAAACCTGACGCAAATTTACTTTTTGACCTTGGTGGGCCTGAATCATTTTGTGCTCAATTGGTAATCCATGGGTTAAAGCCTTATAACTATTTTTTTTTACTAATCAAATTTAAAAAAAAAACTTCTGTTCAGTTATAGCTCAAGTCTTATAAAACTGCAGCGAGATCTTTTTCTTTAGCATATTTGGTTATTGGGCTTTGGCACTTTAAAGATTGGCTACCATAAAAAATTCTCGTATCTGATCTACATTGTGTAGGTGACTTAAAAGAATGTGATTCTTGATCGTGATATATGTGACTATTAGTATTAGGAATATAATCCTCTTTTATATCACAGGACTTTGTGGGATATAACTCAAGCAGTCGATCATTTCACGTGATATTTAATTTATTATCTACAAATTCTGTCAACAAGGAAAGAATGGAGTTTTGCTTTATCTATGTTAAGAGTGATGAATCAATCACTAAAATAAAAGAACATGTCTAAGTCAAATTAAGTCCTTTTGTACATTATTTTAAAAAAATAAAATCAATAAAGTCCTTTTTGAAATGTAAAGATACTTTGCCATAGAGGTTGGAATCGTCCAAAAAATCCTTAGTCGACTACTAGTTGGTCAAAAATTTCTTTAGTCGACTAATTAGTTGATTAATTTGGTTGACTATTAGTAGATTAATTAGCCGAATATTTTAGTCGACTAAATTTTTTTTATAATAATAATAGTGTTCCATTTCGCAATCCAAAAAAAGGAAACAAAATGATCGTAAAGGCGGTTGCAACCAGCGATTGCAATCATTTTTATATGACGAAAAGGTGGTAGCAACCACCATCAAAAGTTGCAGCCAGTATCCTTAAATAATAATATTTCGATTTTTTTTTAATTTGCAAATTACGAATTCATTTCCATTTGAATCTTTCACTTTTTCAAAATGCTTCCACACAAAACCATGTGTCACGATTCGTTTTTTTAAAGGTCTTCTGGAACCACCGCTTAAATCATTGGAACTTGAAGCCAATGAACTATTGGACCTTGTATTGGAAGTGTTTATTCATTCGCATGTAAAATTATCATCAACAACTCCACTACTATTGTCGTCATCATCATATTGATGATATTGATACTCTTCCGCATAGAAACTTTCCATTTTGAATGATAAAACACAAAAATCGTAATTGGTCAGACAATAATAACATAGTATTAGATTAGTATTAGTAGTATTAGTAGTCAACTATTAGTTGCTCAAAAAAAAGTTTAGTCAACTATTTTAGTCGATTCCAACTCTTAATTTGCCACAACAAAAAAAAATTCTTTATCATTAAAGAAATCAACAAAGCTTTTTTAAAGAAATACTTTGCTGTTGCTGAAAAAAGTAAATCAGTTACTTTTTCTAGTATATAATGAGTTCAATCGTTAAGTTTTAAAAAAAACCTTTGTTAATACTAGTGTTCCTAACCAAAAATCAAATTTTTTTACAAATATTCGAAAATCAATTTATTCAAGGATATTTGAATATATATAATTTATTTCGTAATTATTTTGGATATTCGTAATTATTCCAAACATTTATTATAATAATTTTGTAACAATTCTATCGATTGATAATAAATAGCACTGACTTATTTGTAACTTATCCTACTATATAAATAACATTTTTCAAAGATAATAAAGATAACATATATTTTTACAACAATTAAAATATTTGTTTAGAAAACATTTTCATTTAAAAAGTAATTCTTTCAAAACCCAAATGGGATTTGCAGAAATTTTTTCCTAATACTTCAATTGTATAAATCATTTTTAAAATGTCATAATATTCTTGCACCTGATAAAAAATTTTTTTGATTTGTATGATGATATAATTTATTAATAATTTTTTGATATAACTTGAAATGAACAATCAAATTGATAATGTCCAAAAAGAAACTTTATCAATTGAAGAACAAGAAAAAATCAATAGTTTGTTAGAATTTATACAAATATCTGAAACACTCCCCTACCATAAGTATCCGACCATCTGATGATTATTTAAATAATCGGAAATTTTACGCCTATACTTGTCGTCGGAATTCCATAATTACGGCAAATTCGGCATTACGTATAAGCCGTAAATGATTTTTGGCATGAGACCTCAAAGTCATAAAAGTCGTAAACCGTAAAACCGTAATGCCGTAATGCCGTAATGCCGTAATGCCGTAAATACTGTAAATGCCGTAAATAACGTAAATGCTGTGAATCCTAATACCATAGCAGTACTGTAACACCTAATACCAACATAGAAAATTTTTCCCATGAACCTTTAATAATATTAAATGTCTTTTTTATCAATTCAATTAAACATAACATAAACATACTAATGTAGGTTTTAAACAACAATGAGTGATAATAAATATTTATAGAAATAGTTATATTATAGAAGTGATAAGTTTTTTCTTAACAAAATATTTTTCAATTATTAAAAGGAAAAAATGAGTTCTATGAGTTCTGTCAGGTCAGGCATGTCAAGTAATCATCAAAGCAATGTTCAAAAAGAGGTCGTAAAGAATCAATTGTTTGGGAGCATTTTTTTAAAGAAACAATAGGAAATGGACACTTCTCTGCCAAACGTCATTATTGCACAGAAGCTTGGTCTAGAGGGAAACCTGAAATTTTGAAAGGGCATCTAGCTTTACATTGTTCTGCAGTGCCAACTAATGTGAAACTTGAATACATGCAAATACTGATAGAATAATTTTCAAGTTCTAATAAAATACAGAAGATAAATTCATCTCATAATGTTAATTTTGATGCAATTTTTTCTGAAGAATTGCTAGAGTAATTTTTTTTGGGGAGAATTTGAATTTTTAATTGTTGTAAAAATAATGATAAACAATAAATAAACCATGTTGCATATTAATATATAGACATGATGCCATTACCATTACACATGTCTTATTTTCTGGTATTTACTATTATGGTATTTGTGGTATTTGTGGTATTTACAGTTTTATGGTTTTATGGTTTTATGGTTTACATTATTTACAGCAAATAATATGGCACATGCCATAACTGTATTATTTCTGTTTGGAATTCTGATGACAAGTATAATATTAAATATGTGTGACACTAGGTGGTTGCCATTTTCAAATTCTGTGAGTAATTTACATAAAATCACAAACTCTGTATTATCTGCTCTAAATGAAAATATTGAAGAAGGAGATAAGCTTGCAGAAAATTTATATGATCAACTAG